AGAGGACACAAACAAATGGAAGAACATACCATGCTCATGGATAGGAAGAATCAATATTGTGAAAATGGCCATACTGCCCAAGGTAATTTATAGATCTGCTGCCATCCCCGTCAAGCTACCAATGACTTTCTTCACAGAATTGGAAAAACTACTTTAAAGTTCATATGGAACCAAAAAAGATCCTGCATTGCCAAGACAATCCTAAGCCAAAAGAACAAAGCTGGAGACATCATGGCTACATGACTTCAAATTATACTGTAAGGCTACAGTAACCAAAACAGCATGGTACTGGTACCAAAACAGAGATAGAGACCAATGAAACAGAACAGAGGCCTCAGAAATACCACCACACATCTACAACCATCTGATCTTTGACAAACCTGACAAAAATAAGCAATGGGAAAAGGATTCCCTATATAACAAATGGTGCTGAGAAAACTGGCTAGCCATAAGTAGAAAGCTGAAACTGGATCCCTTCCTTATACCTTATACAAAAATTAATTCAAGATGGATTAAAGACTTAAATGTTAGACCTAAAATCATAAAAACCCTAGAAGAAAACTTAGGCAATACCATTCAGGACATAGGCATGGCCAAGGACTTCATGACTAAAACACAAAAAGCAATGGCAACAAAAGTCAAAATTGACAAATGGGATCTAATTAAACTAAAGAGCTTCCGCACAGCAAAAGAAACTACCATCAGAGTGAACAGGCAGCCTACAGAATGGGAGAAAATTTTTACAACGTATCCATCTGACAAAGGACTAATATCCAGAATCTACAAAGAACTTAAATTTACAAGAAAAAATCAAACAACCCCATCAAAAAGTGGGCAAAGGATATGAACAGACACTTCAGAAAAGAAGACATTTATGCAGCCAACAGACACATGAAAAAATGTTCATCATCACTGGCCATCAGAGAAATGTAAATCAAAACCACAATGAGATACCATCTCACACCAGTTAGAATGGCGATCATTAAAAAGGAAACAACAGGTGCTGGAGAGGATGTGGAGAAATAGGTACACTTTTACACTATTGGTGCAACCGTAAACTAGTTCAACTATTGTGGAAGACAGTGTGGCGATTCCTCAAGGATCTAGAACTAGAAATACCATTTGATCCAGCCATCCCATTACTGGGTATATACCCAAAGGATTATAAATCATGCTGCTATAAAGACACATGCACACGTATGTTTATCGCAGCACTATTCACAATAGCAAAGACTTGGAACCAACCCAAATGTCCATCAGTGACAGATTGGATGAAGAAAATGTGGCACATATACACCATGGAATACTATGCAGCCATAAAAAAGGATGAGCTCATGTCCTTTGTAGGGACGTGGATGAAGCTGGAAACCATCATTCTGAGCAAACTGTCACAAGGACAGAAAATCAAACACCACATGTTCTCACTCGCAGGTGGGAATTGAACAACGAGAACACTTGGACACAGGGTGGGGAACATCACACAATGGCGCCTGTCGTGGGCTGGGGGAGGGGTGAGGGATAGCATTAGGAGATATACCTAATGTAAATGACGAGTTAATGGGTGCAGCACACCAACATGGCACATGTATACATATGTAACAAACCTGCATGTTGTGCACATGTACCCTAGAACTTAAAGTATAATAAATAAAATAAAATGTAACAATTTCCCACTTTTAAAGGTTGACAATAAATATTCTTTTCAAAAAGCTCTATGTGGTTCAGTACTGTTCTGGATAAACAAAATATATCTACAGCCTTTCACATGTTTTGTATCTACTTAGCACCTGGGAGTGGAGATGAAAGCATGTGCCAGATGGCTTGCCAGTATGCACAGGAGGTCATTTGGGAATGACACCTGCTATATTGATAACAGCTAACAGGTGTGAGGACTTATCATGGCCACCATGAATGGTTTTAAATGCTTTACCGGTTGTAGCTCATTTAATTCTCATTAAACTCTGTGAGATTGACACTATCATTATCTCCATATTAACAGAGGTTTAGTAGCTTCCTCAGGGTTACACAGCTAATAGGTGTTGGAGCATGGATTCAAATCCAAGTCTGATTTCAGATCTGGGGCTATTACACTACACTACACCATACTGACCATAGAGTCTCCTACACACAGAACTTTGCAGTTTGGGAAATAAGAAGTACACTTGGTTTTCTCTTTTGCTTTTACTATTTGATTGAGTCTTTTTTTAAAAAAAACACACAAAACAAAACATGTATCTAAAAGAGAATCTCACTATGCTGCAGACAAACTCTTACATTTCTAAAAAATCAGAAGTAGAATTAATGAAATAGAATAGAAATGAATCATAACTAGTTTTCCCCTCCCTCAAATCAGAAAGAAGTAACTCACTAGTTTGTTTGTTTTTCCTAAAAGGCAAAAGGAACTGCAAATATTAACACCAACCTGGATTTTCTATTTCAACAGAGCTTAAAGGCACCTCTGCATCAGGTGGGGGGAGAGGTTGTACATCAGATGGGCTTTTCTATGAAGAAACACCAGAAAAATATTAATAACACAATTTTCTCACCTTAAGACAGTAAAAAGTAAAATGCTTCAGCTTAAAAATAATTTTTTCTAAATTTTTTTTCTTTTGGTTGAAATCCCCTTTGCAGATATTTTGTTGTTGTTACTAGTTACTAGTATTTATAAGCATTGATTTAAACTTGTATTTGTTTCTTCTATGGTATTTGGTATTTCAGTAGGAGAAATATCACCTCAAACACTGATACTACAGATTTCCCTGTTGTAATAAATAGTGAAAGTGAAACTAAAAATAAAGTGTGTGATCTTTGCATCACGTTGACCAGGACAAAATTCATCCATATACATTTAGAAAATTCTCTGAATTTTCTCAACTAAATATTTCCTTGACTTTTTCAGGTTTTAGAACATTGACCAAGAGAGAAGACAACCCACTTTGCCATACTTGCCCATGTAAGAAGATGATTTTTCTCTTTTATATTCCAGGCAAGAGAAGTTATCTTATATTAAAGTCCTTATGAAAAATCTCATACAAGAGTAGGCATTCTCAGTTATTTTTCTTTGATTAACAAAAAGCATTATTTAAGGAAGATGTATTTACATATAACAATGAAAATCAATTATAGGATTGGATGATTGTAGAAGTTAACTGTTAGAAGCAGTTAAAAAAAGAAAAGAGGCAAAGGAACTTAATGTAGGTATTACTATCATTCTTCTGATGGCCCCACAATTGCAGTGTTGTTACACCTCTCAGCCTTTTAAAAGAATTATATAGTGGTTATGGTCTCAAAAGTCACAAAGAGAGATTAAGAATAGAGGATGAATGAAAACACAACTGTACCAATCTCATGTGACTTAAGTACTTCTGATCTAGGATTACAGAGACAGTGACAGCATCATAAATACACACACACATTGTGTCTTAAATATTGTGAATAGAAAGTGATAGCAAAAGTTATACACTTCGATAAGCTATGTTGTATGTATTTAAAAATAGCATTAGTGGGCTGGGCGTGGTGGCTCGTGCCTGTAATCCCAGCACTTTGGAGACCAAGGCAGGTGGATCACTTGAAGTTAGGAGTTTGAAACCAGTCTGGCTAACACAGTGAAACCCCATCTCTACTATTAAAAAAATACAAAAATTAACCAGGCATGGTGGCCTGCAACTGTAGTCCCAACTACTGCAGAGGCTGAAGCACGAGAATCACTTGAACCCGGGAGGCGGAGGCTGCAGTGAGCAGAGATTGCGCTACTTTGCCCTCGAGCCTGGGTGGCAGAGGGAAACTCTGTCTCAAAAAAATATGTATTTAAAAAAAAGCATTAGTGATTCAAAATAAATCACTGATGTTTAGAATTCATGGGTGGAAATTTGAAAAATTTGTTTCAGAATACATGAGAATTAAGAAAAGCAAAAGTTTTATTTTGTTTATATTTATTTATTTATTTATTTATTTATTGAGACAGGGTCTCACTGTGTTGCCCAGGCTGGAGTGCAGTAGCATGATCACAGCTCACTGCAGCCTTGATTTCCCAGGCTCAACGAATCCTCCCACTTCAGTCCCCTGAGTAGCCGATACTACACATGTGCACCACCACGCCTTTCTAATTTTCATATTTTTTGTATAGACTAGGTTTCACCTTGTTGCTCAGGCTGGTCTCAAACTCCTGAGCTTAAGCAATCCTCCTGCCTTAACCTCCCCCAAAGTTTTAAACATATGTAAATATATTCTTTTAAATATTTTATACACAAATAGGGTAAATACTATAAGTAGAATCTTAATATTTCCTCAATATCCATCAAAATATGTGAAAGCAAGTTAGACAAAAACTTAGGGAGAACTTTCATTGGGAAAATTGGGGATAGATTTATATTTAGAGGTTCCCTTTAATTGGACAAAAGCATAAAATAATAAATTCTGCTAGAGTAACACAGTGACTTCTATGTGTCCAGTTGAAAAAGATGGAATTTTATGCAGTTCTGTTTCTCTTTTGAGTTTAACTGAACTCAGAGGAATAAACCCTCCTAGAGCTGTTCACACTGGTATTTAGAGCAACATTAAAAACTGAATTCTCACCTTTCTCAGTCGGCGAATACAGTAAGAAATAAAGAGGATCGTTCCAATGACACCAGCCATCACCCCAAAAATAATGAGTGCTATCACTACAGGAGATAAAGAGAGCAGCAAAATTATGAAAGCCTGAAATAAATGACCACATAGCAATTGAAAAATAAGACAGATAAAATCAGGGTAACTTCATCTTGCCTTTTAATAGAAAGTACAATTAATATACTATTATGTATATTTTGTCTTTTTAAAAATTGTGTGCTTTACAGTAACCATGTGGGAAACTGGGACTGTGAGTGATCAAGTCTTCTGAAGGTCGCACAACTAGTTGATGACAGAACTAAGACCTGAGGCTTCTGATTCCAGACCCAGCGTTCTACACTAGTGTAACTGTAGATAAGAACTCAGTGGACCTTCTACTCAGATATGGGGGAAAAAACACAAATTCTCTCATAATTTGGAAGTTATGAGAGAAAATAATGTTTTGATGTATAAAAGAACATTGAACAGATCATAGAATCATACTTTTGGAAAGAAACTGGTATAAACGGTTTACAAATGAAGAAAAGAAGCTGAATAAGGTTAACTTAGCCTTGGTCAGACAACTAGTTAAAACTAGAATTATAACTATAATGCAGGTCATCTATATTCTAAGCTTTATTCCTTTCACAGTATTCTTATGCATAGTCTCTAATATAGTCGCTAAAATGCTTTTTCAGTCTTTTATATTTGGGAATGAAACAATTGAAATAAATTAATTTAGAGGTAGTTCCATATTTATAGCATATTTGTAGTGCTTCCCGATGAAGTAAATAGAATGGAAGGCTAGACACAAAGGTAAAATGGCTCATTTATTTGCCTAATTAATATTTGAAAGCCCTATTATTGATAAAAAGTAAAAGTAGCATTTCCTCTTGCTGGTGTTGCCCAGCTTTCTTGACCACTTAGCTTGAATGTATGTGATAGTGATGAAGTTCTATGATGTGCTTTTTACCCTGTGAGCTGTGGACACAGCCAAGTGTCAAGGGAGGGTTAGAATGCAGAATAGCAAAGGAGCACACACAGTGATACTCAAGTGAGGGGAAGGGATGTCCCTTCAGCAGAGGTTGTCAAGATGGCCCCTAAGTGGTTGCATTGGGCCAAAAATGAATCAAGGCTGAGATTTAACTTTGAAATACAGTACCAGTTAATTAGATGATTTTAAATGCCTGGCTCTTTACGGTAAGGAAGAGGGAAGTTCATTTGTTTTATAAGCTCTTATGAGGCTTTTTTCAAGTACTCAGGGTTGGTTAGAAAGGTAAAACATCTAAATTAAGAGAAAAACTATTACCAAATTATGTATTTCTATTTCCAAAATGTTTTTATTTATTTTTATTTACTTATGTATTTGTTTCTGAGACAGGGTCTTACTCGGTCACCAAGACTAGAGTACAGTGGTACAGTCACAGCTCACTGCAGCCTCAAACTCCCAGGCTCAGGCAATCGATCCTCCCACCTCAGCCAGCCTCCCAAGTAGCTGGGACTACAGGTGCGTGCCCCATCCCAGCTAATTTTGTATTTTTTGTAGAGACGGATTTTGCCATATTGCCCAGGCTGTTCTCAAATTCCTGGGCTCAAGTGATTAGCCAGGCTCGGCCTCCCAAAGCTCTGGGATTACAGGCGTGAGCCACTGCTCCTGGCCCCCCAAATGTTTTTAAAAATAAGAAATGCCTAATTTAATTTTAAAAAGATAATATTTTCTTTGCCTTTACAATTTTGTATGAATAAAGTAAACAACATACGCTCTTCTGTTTTAAGATTGACACATTTTCTTAGGCATTTGAAACAAGCAATGGATAGTTTAAAATGGAATGACTTTTATTATTTGTCAAATATTAACATACCTAGTTCAGAGAATTCATGGACAAGTTGTACCCGTTCTCCTATAAAGCAAAATTTCAATGTTAAGTCCAAACAAGTAAGGTATGTGCAAAAAAAAAAATCATTTTGGAATTAAACTGTTTTGTGGGTTTCCTTTTCTTAAAATCACATTTTGAGAGTTGTTGGTCAACTTTCAACATCTAGTTAGTAAATTTTATGATGTAATGTGTCAGTCTTACCATTAATAATTTCAGTATCTACTTTTAATGACCCAACAAGTATTCATGGATGAGAAATACGCAAATTATCTCATAACTGAGGGGAAAGGAATGAGAAAGTATTGGAAGAATCACTTATTGACTTACACAAGAAGCAATATATTTTTTTAAAAAATGTAAGAATAATGAGAAGAAAGGAGACATATGGAGCCATTACTCCACACGGATGCCAGTCCCATGCAAAGAGGGGTCGTGTGGCTATCAATTTTCCAGATTTATGCCATAGCCACTGTCTGAATCTAAACTGTTACTGTATCTCATCTGAGCTTTTGCCAATAGTCTCTCTGGATTCTATGTCAGTAGCAATGGATAACACGGTTGCCTTACTGTTCCACCTGTGCTAACCTTCCCTGTCAGTCCACATCTTACTTTTGTCTCTGTCTCCACTTGCCATTTTATGTCTTGAAGCTCTCTTACTCCCAAAGCCACACAATTTTCTAGAGTTTAATTATTACAAATTACATAGTATATACTATGTTGTATCACATGATTGAGGATTCAGGTATTTTTTTTTTTTATTCTTTAGGCTTTGTGTACAAAGGTTAATTGGGGCTTGCCTTCTCTTTCTTGGTCACAGTTAATAGTTGTGGGTGCTATTGGGGTAAAACAGATGGGTTTTCTGTCACAAAAGTTTGAGAACTTTCATGAGTTACAGCTTGTGTAAATATAGTTCAATCACAACAATGATTCCAGAGCAACTCTTTAAAACTAAGAACCTACTGTTGTCCTCTTCTGGAGGGTAATGGGTTCTACCAGAAAATTCCGAAACTTCATGAGCACTAGGAGTGGTTGGATGTGTGTCCGATGTGTGCTTATCTGCATACAAGATAAGTTGAGAAAGGGATCAAGAATGAAGCGACCGCGTGGACATAAAGCGTATCATGAAAGACAAATTCTTCCACATCCCTGCCAGCAGCTCCAGAATTTCTTCTCCTCTGAAAACTAACAAGAGAGACTGCCACCAGATTACTCTTATCCCAGCACCCAGCTTTGCTTATTGTTTATCAGCCACTGAGAATGTGTGAGGCTCTGATCTAAGCACTTTTAGATACATCTTCTTATTTAGCCTTTAGAGAAACGCTGTGAGATAAGTACTGTGTTATTGGCCCCATTTTAAAATTAATGGGATAGAAACCCTGCAGGGCAACTCACCTTGGGTCAGCAGCTGGGATAGAGCTGAGCCCAGGTCTGAGCTGAACTCAGTTTGCCCGCAGACCCTCCGTGACGCTGCACTATTAGGTCCCCTTTACCTGGTCCACGATGTCATGGTCACACGCATCATTTCTGTGCTTTGCCACATTGTTTTAATTTCTTTAACTCACAGTATTATTTCTGTAAGATATTTCAGAGGCAAGAATTCCTCTGCAGTAGGAATTGTGTCTACTTAGTAGGCTGTGTCTACTTAGCTCGCATTTCTCAGTGTTTGTCCGTTTCCCTGCAGTGACAGGTCCCTTAAAATAGGGTTACATCACAAAAATGATTGTGGAGCCACCATTTAAAAATAAAAAATAGAAACAAACCATTTGGCTGTAATGAGACATAACTCTCTGGGACCAAAGAAGAGGTGGAAGTGTGCGTTGCCGGAACAGTGGTACTTGATGCTGATATTCTCACAATTTCTGTATAAAATAGAAGTTGAGAAAGGGATTAAGAATGAGGTGACTGAGCGGACCATAAAGCATACCACGAAGGACAGATTGCTCTCACATCCCTCCAGTGCCTGAGCTAAGCGCTTTTGTATACATCTTACATAATCTTTAGAGAATTGCTATGTGGTAAGTATTGTATTATTGGCCTTATTTTAAAATTAAGGGTCCGGAAGCTCCTCCAGAATTTCCGCATAGCAGAGGTTTACAGATAAATAAAGTGTACCTTGGTTTTCTCCTCTGTACAATAATAATTCCTGCCTTGAAATGTCATTGTGAGAACGAAATTAGTTTAAATATGTGTGTGTATGTGGTATGTGTGCGTATGTGGTATGGGTGCATATGTGGTATGTGTGTGTATATGATGTGTATGTGCGCATATGTGGTATGTGTGCATATGTGGTATGTGTGCGTATGTGGTATGTGTGCATATGTGGTATGTATGTGTATGTGATGTGTATGTGTGTATATGTGGTATGTGTGCATATGTGGTATGTGTGCATATGTGGTATGTGTGTGTATGTGATGTGTATATGTGCATATGCGATGTGCACATGTGTGTATGTAGTATGTGTGTGTATGTGATGTGTATGTATGTGTATGTGGTATGTGTGCATATGTGGTGTGCGTATGTGGTATTTGTGCGTATGTGGTGTGTGTGTGTGTGTGATGTATATGTGTGTGTATGTGGTATGTGTGCATATGTGGTGTGTGTGTATGTGGTATTTGTGCATATGTGGGATGTGTGTGTGTGATGTGTATGTGTGCGTATCTGGTATGTGTGCATATGTGGTATGTGTATGTATGTGATGTGTATGTGTGCATATGTGGTATGTGTGCGTGTGTGGTGTGTGCATATGTGATGTGTATGTGTGCGTATATGGTACGTGTGCTTATGTGGTGTGTATGTGTGCACGTGATGTGTGTGCGTATGTGGTATGTGTGCATCTGTGACGTGTATGTGTGCGTATGTGGTATGTGTGTGTATGTGATGTGTATGTGTGTGTATGTGGTATTTGTGTGTATGTGGTGTGTGTGTATGTGATGTGTATGTGTGCGTATGTGGTATGGGTGCGCATATGGTATGTGTGTGTATGTGATGGGTATGTGTGCATATGTGGTATGTGTGCGTATGTGGTATGTGTGTATATGTGATGTGTATGTGTGTGTACGTGGTAAGTGTGCATATGTGGTATGTGTGTGTAAGTAATGAGTATGTGTGTGTATGCGGTTATGTGTGTGTGTGTGGTGTGTGTGTATCCGATGTGCATGTGTGCGTATGTAGTGTGTGCCTGTGTGGTGTATGTGTAAGTGATGTGTATGTGGTATGTGTGCGTATGTGGTGTGTATATGATGTGTATGTGTGCGTATGTGATATGTGTGCGTATGTGGTATGTGTGTGTGTGATGTGTATGTGTGCATACATGATGTGTACATGTGCGTATGTGGTACGTGTGTGTATGTGGTGTGTGTGTATGTGATGTGTATGTGTGCTTATGTGGTGTGTGTGTGTGGTGTGTGTATGTGATGTGTATGTGTGCGTATGTGGTATTTGTGCGTATTTGGTGTGTTTGTACATGTGTGTGTATGTGGTGTGTGTGCATATGTGGTATGCGTGTGCATGTGATGTGTGCGTATGTGGTATGTGTATGTTTGTGGTGTGTGTATGTGATGTGTATGTGTGTGTATGTGGTATGTGTGCATATGTGGTATGTGTGCATGTGGGATGTGTATGTGTGCGTATGTGATGTGTACGTGTGCGTATGTGGTATGTGTGCATATGTGTATGTGTGCGTATGTGGTGTGTGTGTGTGTGGTGTGTGCGTATGTGATGTTATGTGTGTGTATTTGGTATTTTTGCGTATGTGGTGTGTGTGTATGTGATGTGTATGTGATGTTTATGTGTGCGTATGTGGTATGTGTGCATATGTGGTATGTGTACGTATGTGGTTTGTGTGTATGTGATGTGTATGTGTGCATATGTGATATGTGTGCATATGTGGTGTGTATGTGATGTGTATGTGTGCTTATGTGGTATGTGTGCATATTTGTTATGTGTGTGTATGTGATACGTGTGCATATGTGGTATGTGTGCGTATGTGGTATGTGTGTGTATGTGATGTGTATGTGTGCGTATGTGGTATATGTGTGTGTGGTGTGTGTGTATGTGGTGTGTATGTGTGCCTATGTGGTATGTGTGTATGTGACATGTATGTGTGTGTAGGTGTTATGTGTGTGTATGTGATGTGTACGTGTGTGTATGTGGTATTTGTGTGTATATGTTGTGTGTGTATGTGATGTGTATGTGTGCGTATGTGGTGTGTGTGTATGTGATGTGTGTGTATGTGGTATGTGTGCGTATATGGTGTGTGTGTATGTGATGTGTATGTGTGTGTATGTTGTAGGTGTGCGTATGTGGTATGTGTGTGTATGTGATGTGTATATGTGCGTATGTGGTATGTGTGCATATGTGGTGTCTTTGTATGTGATGTGTATGTGTATGTACGTGTTAGTATAGCAGTTACACATAAAGAGAATTACATATACGTTGGGTATTATTGTTATAATGCTTATAAAGGGGTAACTTGAAGATGCATTTGGAAAACTGTCTATGCTAAGAAAGGTGGAAGTGTATAATAATTATATAGAACAAAAGTTCTATCCCATGTCTCAGTGTCTCCATCTGCTAGGGACAATCTTACCTCTTCAGTAAAAATTGAAACAATAATAAAACACTATTGCATTTAATGTTCTTATAGTTCAATAGAGGTTGAGTCAATTCTAAGTTTCCCCTCTCACGCCTTTTTTTTTTTCTTCTTTCGAAAGTGGATGCTCAGAGTTGTGATGGAATTATAGGCAATGCTGGCTCCAGCCTAAGATACTGACTAAAGAGTCAGATAACCAGGCAATGGAATGAATTCTAGGTCACTGCCGCTGTCTAATATGAAAACATGCACACAAACATGAAATCAGAATGTAGACTCACATACATCCTTTTAAAATCTCATTAGATAAATTGTGAATTATTTTTGTAATTAAACACTGTTTTTATTCTTAAATGCAATACATTTCAAATGTTATTTTATAAAATTTTATAAATTGGATTCTTTAATTTGCAAAAGTAATATAGATTCAATAAAGAAAATTTGGGAACTACAAGAAAGCACAAAGAATAATATAAAATTCATCTACAGTCAGCCTATGCAAGGTTGAACATTTGACACATTTTGATATATAGCCATCTGAACTTTTAGTTGTTATATCTAAATCTGGGATCATGGTGTTTAAATATACATGAATATGTATATAATGTTTACAAGTATGACTTTCTACTTAATATGCCACAGATACCCCTATCCTGTCAAATATTCTTCTATGAGAAGATTTTTAATGACTGCATAGTATTCTATTGTAGGAGTGTTCTGTGGTTTATATTTCAATATGCTATTCTGTGCATTCATGTATTTTTCACTCTTCTCAGAGTTACAAATCATTATGATAAACGTCAGTACCCTGAACTTTGTAGATGTACCTTTGCTCATCTCTTTGAGACATTCAAATGAGGGGAATGGCACCCAAGTGCAATGCAGTGGAGGTGGAAGGGCTTCTTCTCAGAGGCAGCCAACTTGGCCTCTCAGCTGAATGCTCAAAGTTTACTGGAGAACCCACAAACAACAGAAAACATCTTCTTTGACACCTCTCATTAGTCTACCGGAGGGAAGACTTCTAAAACCTGCCTCTGTTTATCAGCTGATAGGTAATCAGTTTACCCCCAAATCATGGAGAAGACATGATCTATTGTTCCCAAACTGTCTATGTTTTCTCCTCTCTTTTAAGTCCTTTTCTGGCCTTGCTCTTTAACTTGGCCTGCCACCTGATTCCGTCATGTGTGTATAAATGACTGCAATATGAATTCACTAAATAGCATGCAAAACAATTACTGAATGTTTCTAAGTTGTTCAGCACTCGGTCATAATGGCTTTTAAGATAACATAAAAACCAATGCTTTTAAACAATAACCTGGTGATAGGGATTTTGAAGTTCAACAAATATTAAGATTAAAATTACAGAAAGAAACATCTTTATGAGTCAATGAAAGTATGTAAAAATTATTTACAAAGATAATTCATGAGCAAAAATAATCCATCTCTCTTAATAAATGTTAGACATGAGCTTCAGCTTATTCCTAGATAATGGAATATGGACCATCTATTGTATTTTTGAAAAGGCATACAATCTGAGTAAAATAGGTTTAGCTATGAAACTGTTATGAAAATAGCTAATAAAATAACAAGCCAAAAAAATCAAAAGTGTTAATGGCCAGAAGCCTTAAATGGGCATGTAACAATAAACGTGAGATCAGCCTTTGGCTCAGCTGCACGGGAATACAACTGGAAAAGGCAGCTAGAGCTCTCATCCTTCACTCAGGTGTGCTCATCACTTCCATTCCTAACTTTCGTCCTCTCCACACTTCTCCCTTTAATCTTCCACTCCTTCTTTACATTTTTCAGTTCGGTGTAATCCACTTACATTTAGGGTGCACATTTCTTATCCCCGTGGATACCGAATGGGCTCTTCTGAAACATAAAACTTGTTCCTAGGACTTCAATATCCCATTATTTTGAATCTTCTCAGCACGAGAATTGTGCTTTGTTCATAAAAGATGTTAAATGAAATGTTAATTGTTATAAATGCTTGGTCATATTCTTACAGAGAAAGAATTAGGTGAGTGGTATGGTTAGGATCTGTGTCATCATCCAAATCTCATATGGAAATGTAATCCCCAATGCTGGAGGTAGGTAATTGGATCATGGGGCTGGTTTCTCATTGCTTAACACCATCCCCTTTGATGCTGTCGTGGAGATAATGATTTCTCATGAGATCTGGTTGTTTAAAAGTGTGTGGCACCTCCCCACTCTCTCTTGTTCTTGCTCTTGCTCCAACTCTCTCTCTCCCCACTCTTTCTCTTGCTC